TTTGTTTTTCTCCTCATACTTTTCTCTTCAGAGACACACACACAGACTCTCGCGCTTAACCCTTACTACCATTTTTTTCCCTCTTTCACTCAACCCCTGCAGTCCAACTTTTACTTGCCCTCTTTAATTCTATCGAGGCTTCGGCGCGGCTCCTCGTCGTCGAAAGTTTTGAGCGAGAGAGCGAGGCGTACTTTTCTTTTTAGCTTTTGCGAAACTGATGTGATGGCAAGTATTGGAATATAGATGTTCATCGCGAGTTCGGAGGTTTGACGGATATAACGTGCGTGGTTAGGCTTTTTGTGGCTTGAACGGGGATTTTAAGAAAATCTAGATAGCTTGTTATGCAACTAAAAAAGTTACAACGTGCACGCTGAATTTAATTGAATAAACGCAGGTCATCGTGAAATGAACAAACGATCCTCGACAAAATAATCCATTGGCCAAGTCAAACGGTACATTTGCGGGAGCGGCGAATCGAATTATCGATATCAACGACGTTATCCGGATCCACTAACTTCATTGAAAAAGCGTCATTCTTTGTCAACACCGGTGAAGAGAGAAGAGCAAAGCATATACATGTGTATTTGCGTCGATGTGTTTGAACCCGTTTCCGATGCGAGCAACGCCGAACACAACTCGTCCTGGAAAAGTTTTAATCGTCCTTCCCCAGGCAAAGTATGATAAATCGCTGCAATCCTGCCTGCTCTAATAGTAAGCGGCGCGTACACCTCCCTCGCACGTATTTCTGCGAGCAAATATTCGGCTTTAATCGTTAGATACGCAATTCACGCGATTACCACAGAGATATGGCAAACGTGACTTTCTTATAATGAAGCCCATTCCTTTGCGCTTCGTCCGAACGCACAGTCCGCGATCCGCAGCATTCTCGGTCCACAGAGCAACGACGAAAAAATGGAATAACTTTCCTATCCAGATAAAAAAAAAGAAACAAGAGGCGTCATGTCCGAAATCAATAAAAGATGTAAAACATAAAATTCATATAGTGGGAGAATCGTTTGCCTGCTCGGGCAAATTGTAATCCTACTACGAGAAAAGCGCTACTTGCAAATTTTCGCGCGGCGTAAGCTTTGGGAGTTCACTCGTGTTTTATTGACTGTTGATTGTTCTCGTGATCAGCGTACTTCTCGGTCGTCGTCGCGCGGCTTGTAAAACACCAAAATAGAAACCAATTGGAAGCAGTTTGCGATAAACGACAGCGAGACTTTCTTCGTTGTGGGTGAAGTGCAATTGAGATGAGCAGCGATGGACGAGCGGAGCATCAAAGGGTTTCGCGACTCGCGAGTCGTCAACGAGCGACGATTGGCGCCGAGGCTAAATGTACACTTTAGTTTATTCGATTGAGTCTCACCCGCTCATCTCCTCTCTCGTCGCGCGTGCCGCTATTACGCGTATATCGTTGAGATTGTTCGTGCAAACGAGCGAGACAAAAGGCCAATCGGAGGATTAGCCGATGTATCGCCGATTAGTTTTGCATCTTTCGGAAATTCGGATCTCGTCGTTCGCAGGCACGCGTGCGCTCGGCCACGATACGAACGACAAAACAAATGACAGCAACACAACTTTCATCAACCGAATGTCCGCCAAATGATCTCGAAAGATACGTGCTGATTTCTAAAGTTGATTCGAACCACGAATAACTAACCTACTTTCCATTCGTATAACCAAAGCCAAAACTATACACAAGCGAAGGTTGTAATTCTAGACCAAATGAAAGCGCGCCCGCGTGCATGTGTGTCAGCCAGAGAAGTAATTGGACTTTAAAGTTTTGGGGGCGTAATCCACGTCAAAAGAGGCTTTAGCCCGCTTCTGCACATTTAATTCCAAAGTTTGATGGGTCAAAAGGATAGAGAGAATGGGGGGACAATGCGTTCCAGCTAAAAGTAGATAAAGCTCCCTAGACTTGACAACTACCACGCATTTTCGTTTATTTTCGGCAAGCTTGCGTTGTAAAGGGTTTTTCAAGCGAGCTTTTTTTATCTATAAGTGAGATTTCTCCCGGACGGACGGAAAACGAAACTGAATTTCGCTCGCGATCGTGAAATCGTGAAATCGTGATATCCAATTAGTATATTGTAAATATTGAGTTTATTAGTCCAATTAATCAAACGCGAATATCGCTGCACTTTTATCGGCCGTTGTCGTCAATAGTCACTCAATTAAAACATGACAAGAGATTTTTTTTTTCAAATGACACATACTCTCTCGCAGTCAAGTTAAAATGTACACATTGAGAAAAAACATATAAGCGACAGCGTTTACATATCGAAGCTTGCGAGCTCGAAGCATAACGACAGAACATTAATCAGCGTAAAATCGCGCGCACGACGTTCATTACGTAAGTTCAGGCGCCGAAATAAGGAAGTGAAGTCTCGACGTGCGTGTGGCGCGAGTAACTCGAGAATGGTTTCATCCCCCTTCGCGCCGCCTTCTCTCGCCGGAAGGGGGATTAATTTTCAACAATTTATCGCGTCCTCGTTGCCACCGTTGAATCAACGTCGCGACTGCACGTCCGTCGGACGAAGACAAACAAATCTCTAGCTCTTTTGGTTCGATTGGATGAAGAACCGCGGTAACCAAGGCGGTAATCTCTCTTCTTTATGAATCAAAAGGATGCTCATTCAATTTCACGGCTTTCGGTTATTACTCAGATCGATTACTGCTTCTGCTCTTTTTCATTCATTTTAGCTCCTATTTTTAATTAATTTATTGATTCGCAGTAGCCTCTATCGCGTACTGTTTCGAATTATATAGAGCTGCTCCCGTGAAATTCCGACGGCTGATGTGATAAATAATTACCGCCCGACAAAATATTGTGGCCTGTTCTCGTTTCGAATTACGGTACTACATCAATACGAAAAAGCTAATTCAGTCCTGCGCGTGTTGTCGAATTCCCGGCACGCGCCTTCGTTGAGCCATCACATCGGACCGAATAATTTGCTTGCGTAACAAAATTAAAACGGATTTTTGTTCTCGAATAGTGTGAATTTTTTAATTTGCAATCAGTAGCGCGCAAAAAGTATATAATCGCCGTCGGATCTTAATCAGTAGCGAGTAATATTCATAGTCTATATCTCGTATAGGAATAAAAAACGAATCACGAAGATAACACCATTCGATGTAATTTTCGAGAGAATGAATTCTCGAGCTCTTGTTAAAAACAAATTCAATTTATATGCAAATGCAGAACGAAGTCTATTATTTGCAAATTTTATCTTATACCCATCACGATGATTAAAATTGGAAATCTAATCGTTGGACAAGATATCTAACAAAGCTTAAAATTTCCTTACGTTGATCTACGTACAAAGTAAAGTTCGTTGGAAAATTTTACCCGGCATAAATTCATTGCGATTGCTTGGACAAAAACAAAGCTCATGCTTAAAAAAACCATTGAGTCTTTCGAAAAAATCTCAGGGTGTGTCACTGTACAATCGGCAAACATTTTGGTGAGATACTAAACGCTACAAATAATTTTTTGTCTGTTAATTATCTCGAGTGTTTGCACGATATCTTTTACACTGCGCCAGTAAAATCGGATTGCCGCTGCTAAAACTGCATTTCATTCCCTCACAATCAGCAAACAAAATAAAAGTCATTACAAGCAAAAGCATATCCATTGTCTCTGCGAAGAAAGTGATCTCAGCAGTTGATAAACAACGCGTGATCGGGTAATTTTTGACTTGCCGATTGCAGAAGAGAGGACAGAGGGACAGCATATAAATTCGTGATGATTGTTTGCTCGCTCGAGCGACGCGCCGATAAAGCCACGGCAAACAGCGCGTGATAATTGAGTCGAGGGGTTGGCTGACTTTCCATATTGTCCCTTCGGGGTTTTTCGGTGGCTATTTACCAAACCTCACGATTTATCTCGTCGTTGGCACATGCTCCCATGTTAAATCGATCGCGAGTCGTAAAAAAAAAGACTTACGTAACGTCTGTATTAGATAACGCGTGCCTGCACCATGTAATAAATTGAAATCTTTGTGTTGTGCGTGTGTGTGAATGTATATATATCATTGAGCATTAAAATTTAATTGTTCTCGTAACGAGCGTGTACTGTTGTCTTTTACGCTTTTGACTCGTTTTATTGACATGGTTATTCGGATTTTAATTTGCCAGCTGATTCCTTTACAACTCGGCGGCTTCCACATGCGCGCGTGGAAAATTAAGCACTATATGAAGATAAAGACTCGGCGTCGATCTTACAATGACGTCCGCAATAGAGACACGCGTGAGAACTTGCGTGTTGGTGTGCCTATCTTCGTACGATATAATTTGGAATCGCGCAATAATGAAATGAGCGATGTGAGAAAATCAGCTAAAAGATGTTTTTTTATCGCTCGAAGCTTAATGAATTCGACGCGCAATCGCTTAAATCATTATAAGATTCTTGGACGTTAAACTATAATCGAGCCACAGAAATAAAGCAATAAAGCAACAATGCCAGTCAACATATTGACGCTTAAAAGTGTACAAGCTGAAAATTATTTTGACCGTGGTTCCTTCCTACACACACACACTCACACACACACATACACACACACTGGCACACTCTGGCGCGTTCCTTTATTCTCCGTTAATTTTCTTGTTTATCGGAGGCCAAAAGGGTCGATTGGAAATAATAAGCAGTGCACTCTCAGTAATTCGCTCACGTGGGCACGTGTAATCAATTCCACATGCAAGTGCGCACGCATTGTTTTCGCTGTTTTCTCATCTGATTCCGTGCATACCGCGCAATCGATTACATATGCTTAAGATGCATTGTTGCGAGCCACTAAAACTTGCTCCAACAAACGTAATACCATAGTCGTAGTCTTTTTCCGTACGAGCAGCGCCAGCGCGAAACCCTCAATTTAACCGGCCATCGACCTCGACTAACCGTCTCTTTCCGCGTGCGCGAAACAATCGCGGAGGCTCGTTCGAGTTTGCCAAATCGTCCCTCGCGCGAAACCCTCAAATCAGTAGGATATGAGACTCACCGCTCGCACTCGTAGCAGCATCATCGGTCCAGGACGGCGCACTCTCGTGAAGGAACGAACGGCGATACGAGGGTTGACGAGTGCTGCTTGCCACTCGGCCGCTCATCGCCGACTAACCTTCGGCGCATGCAACGCCCGTGGCGTACGGAGAATCGCCAGCAGACGAGCTGTGCGTTGCAGTAGAGACGTAGGAGAAACGGGGCTGCTGCGGCTGCCGATGACGATGCGTGCGGTGCACCTACGCCTATGACCACTGCCCTCCATTCTTTTCGCGATGCGCGGCCTTGGTCAACCTTTGCCGAGCGATAGACCGAACGGATGTACGCTCATCTCCTTGTGCCTGCATTTTTTTTTTATTTTTATATTTCGGCCGATCGGATGCCTTTTGTCTTTTCGACTCGCGATGCTGCATCCGGCTCGCGATCGACGAACTTGAGGAGTCGGATTTGGTTTCGTTTGTTTCTCGCTAAAACCTAGGTGCAATTCAAGTTCAATAATCAATTTTTCTTAATTTTTCGGTACTCACAGAACATTTACTGAAAAAGAAATGGCTCCTCGAGTGCTGTAAACGTGATAATAAATTTTAATAACAACTACGAAAATCAATGCGTACAAAAATGCGATGATGTAAGTCATCGGTATTAAATCGGTGAACGATAATTAACACATCCAATGACTCTCAATTCACCGATACAGATTAGCAGTTAGCACACTTCAGTTTTATTCGTGTATATCGAGCGATAAATCTTATTTATCCCGTCAATCAATGTCGTAAATTGATTCTGTACAATTACGAAGAATATTACCTACCCTTCTTTGTACGCTCGCCGACGATTTCCGATTGACCAACCGCGCAGAAAAGACGATTTGGTTTCGCACGTTGCAAGCTGATGACACATTTGCGAAGTGCGTGCCCTCGGCGCGTGGCGAAGAATGTAAGGCAACGTAATGAAACTAACTGGCCCGCTGGCGGACCGCCAATTAAGTCTTTTGCCGCCGAAGCAGGCATTCAAAACGCTCGCGCGCGCCTCTCTCTCTCTCTCTCTCTCTCTCTCTCTCTCTCTCTCTCCTTTCACTAGCGATTCACCGGCAACAGCGGACGCGCTCATATGCACACGCCAGCATCTCCGCTAATTTTATCTGCTTCGGCTCTTCAGTCGAAGCATCGCTGTTTCGCTTTTGAATTCCTATGCTTTCGTATTCTATCACGAAGAAAAACACTCGATAACGGAACAATCGCTTCGATATACATGTATATATATAAAAAAAAGTTACATAGCTCGAAAAGCAAAAGTAAACGTTAGCGCTTCAACGGAAGCCGCGAAGAGAAATAACCCTGCCAGAATGCCAAACTTCTCTTCCAACCACTCACATACAACACGCATATCCATTGTTTCTCTATTCTCTTTCATGCTTCTGAAAGAGAAAAGAAAACCGCGCCCACGCGCGCACGAGAAACATTAACCACACACACACACACACACACACACACACACACACACACACACACACACACACTTGAACTCCCGCGTGCGCGCATTGCAAGTATAACGAAATCGAACAATGTTGTCGAAATTGGTCTTTTTTTTGGTGGAAACTATAAATAGAGGTTTAGGTTTAAAAAGGAGACATGTTTAGTTGGAATATTCATTTAGGAAAAATCGATGGAAGTAACTACCTATGCGATATATCAATTTGCTTGAACGTTGGAGTAATGGTTGAGTCTCATATTTTGCGCGTGTGGGTAACAATTTTTTCATACGGAAGGTTTTTATCGTTTCGGTTGCTTGACTTTGGTGATCGGATACTTTGGCACCCTCAAAGTAATTTGAACGTTGATTATAGGTTGAATTTACATATAAATTAAGTGGAGCCTCCAATCAAATCGTATTACCAAATTTAATTTTTGATTGAAGTATATGTCCTATTCCAAAGTACACACCATTTAGGTGTATCTCAATTGTATCTTTATGTCAATGCTAGATTCGATGCACTGTTGCCTTATTAGATATAGCAGTTATATGAAAATTCAGTCATCGCTTTAATTTTGTTTTTTCTAAAAAGTAACTTTGAAATATTTAGTGAATTTTTATTAAAAATTAATTCCTTTTATTTTTACGACATACAAAGTTCCTACTTTCAGAATATCAACTGAAAGTATCCAGGCATGGCCCTTGGAATGGGTCCAATACTCAAATACTCGGAACTAAATCAAATCTCATCTGTAATTAAACCTACCAAATATCTGAAATTGAAATTTTATAACCTAAACCTCTCTGACTAAAGGAAAGGAATAAAATTGCCCGTTCATCCATATTTACATGGCCCGATAATAACTCAGTCGCCCGATGCGCCTTTGCTCGGACGAACTTTAAATACACGTGTAATCCGCCCTTCCGCGTAAGCGATGCACGTCGGAGTCATGTGAAAGCATCGCCTGTTGCGACGGCAGAGACGATCGATCTTACTTCCACTTGCCTGAGTGTAAATATATTTGTGAATTTTTTTTATATTTGAGATATACTGAATAATTTTTGTTCGTTATTTTTTCCTCGAATGATCATTGCTTGCAAGGTAAGTATTCATTCATTATGTTTTTCTAGCTGTAAAACGTTTGTGCTCTGATGAATATATGATATATAAAAACTCAAAACGGATGTTACGTTGGTAACTGCATTCGAAAGAAAAAGAAAAAATCTTTTGATCAATTTTGAATGAACATTGACATCTGGGACGTTATTTGGAACGGAGAACAGCCATTAACAGCACATTTTTCAGTTGCGGCTTTGGCATAAAATAAAAGGCGAGTGGTTAGTATAACTGAATAAGTCAAGTTATTAATTGGGCTTTGATTAGATAGGCATTTTTATACCCGAAACTACGCATCGAATATAGTGTTAAAATATATGTGGACCAGATAAGCAAAATCGAGGTAAATTTATATTCTGCCGAAAACTCGAATAACATATGGAAATACAATTTGAATTAAAACTATTGGGAATGTCCAAATTATGCCGAAACCACTGGTTCACATGGCCAAATTTTTGTTAATATTTAAAATGACCAACTTTTTTCGTTGAACAAAATTGGAAATTTTAAGCAGAATAATTATAACTTTGATAGCAATCATGTGATTGTCCAATTTCTGAAACCATTCGTAATAATATAAGATACTATTGATAAATGAGCCTTTTTTCAAACAAGAAAGTAAACCATAAAAGAAGTAAAATCCACGAAAACTGCTGCTTTGTCATAAACGTTAATTAACCTCCGGAAAATTGGATTTAATACGGCAACGCTTTAAAAATAACTTTTCTTTAGAATATCAATATCCTAAAAATTGCAAAGAAAAACACGCTCGAAGGGAAAGCTTTTTAAATGCCCAGATGCAGCATCATAAATATCAATAGTTGTCGTCAAAAGTGGTAATCGATATTCCCTTCATCCTCGAAAAAGAAGCAATTTTTCACGAACAAGTCATTAGAGCCGTCCATCAAACTAATTACCGTCGCTACTGGCCAGAAGGTCAAGCCAATAGCAGCGAAGGTAAAGAACCGAAAGGCGTATAGATCAGTGGTGCAAATCGATCGTATTTCCCACCTGAATCGATCGCGCAGGTCGATTAGCATGAAAGCCGAGCGGAGTAGTCGCTGGGAGGAAAGGGTCGCGTTGCCGAAGGAGAAGGCAGCCCCGGGGGGCGGTTGTGGCAGTGGTGGTGGATCAGCTGCGAGAGGCGCGCGCATCGCACACACATTTCTACGAATATATCTCGCGCAAGCCTCTCGCGGTTTCGCGCAGTCAACCCCAACCCTCCGAGACGAGCGCGCGCGGCTCTCCGTTTTGCCCTCGTCACACGTGACTTGCAGCACAAGCTGTCCACTCGGACCCGTCCCCCCCTTTCACCGTTTGTTTTTCTCTGGTGCCACAGTGCGACATTTATTTGTCTGTGATTAGTTGAAGTGAAGTGAACTTTAAAGACTGCTACTAGCTACTGGCAAGCCGAGTGGCTTTTCTTTTTCGGTGAGCAGACCTTTTAAGGGACTGACAGCATAACTATATTTCATTTTATTATCTTGACAGGGATTTTTTTTTATCGGGAAGACCTTTTTTTGCGAATCACAGTTATATAGTGCTCGCATGTCCTTCGGGCTTTGGAAGGAGAATTCAATAGAATCAAATATATATACATATATCTCGATGATAGTTTTGACTCTCATGCTTTACTCTCTGTGTCTCTCGCTAAATGTGAATTCACCGTTAGAGATGATTTATACTTGGAGGTGTATTTGGAGGTGCTCTGCTTTGACTTCTTGGCTGTAAGGTATAGGAGATGTAGAAGTAAAGGGTACATTGAAATGACCTCTATCTATAAGCTAACATCACACTGAATAATAGGCTCTATTCATCGCCAATGTTGCGGCAATGTCCATCGCTGTGTCGATGTTATAGCGAGCAATGTAAAGATACGAGGGATCGAATTTCTTGTTATAATTGGCAGATTATGCTTGTAGTTTTTCAATGTGAAAAAGTGCATATTAAAGTTTCATTAAAATTAAAAGTATACATCAAACTGAATGTATATTAATTATTTCGGATTATAGACCGAGTGTGGGCATCGAAAAGGTTCAGTATCTGTATAGCTGAAAGCGTGATTACGTTTTCTTTTATGCCACTGGGTACAACAGGTTACATCCACGCTAATAGCTGTCTTAAAATCCGAATGCAACAAACACATACAAACATCCACACACAGAGGTGCCTGCTAGCCTGATTCGATTTCTCTGTTATTCCAATAATTATTTTGCTGTTTCTCGCCTGCGCCTCGGTTTCCCATTTACGAGTCTTCTCAATTAGACCCGGCATTTTCCACCCAGACTGAATTTCACCGAACAGCCAGCGAGCTGGCGAGTGGGCAAAAGTAACTTCGGCATTCGTAACAGCTTTTGGGATTGAAAAGCTCCCCGGCCTTGTAGGTACATGTCTCCGACATAGGAAAGTTCAGCCAAGCATATGATCTCGGGGGCGACGCGAAAAAATAGGGCGTTTATGGGGCTTTCAAGCTGCGGGGGTACAAGTTTCCGCGCGTTAACTTCGCACTTCGCAATTTTCGTACAGATAGCTTGCGAAATTGCGAAAAACAAAAAAAAAATGTTGGCTGGCTCGCTTCTCCTTTCGGCGACGGATACGAAAATGCGACACTTCCTTTCAGAAGCACGACAAAAAAAAATCTGTCGCTCGTTCAAAGCACCGACCTCTATTTTTACGCTTGTTCTTCGACGAAGAAGTCGATAACAATTGACTTGCTAAAAATAGAGAAAACGAATGCTTGGCATTCTTCACCTTTTGTTAATGCCATGTCCGAAGGAAAAGACAGCGTATTTGATTCCGTAACGATGCTGCAAAATAGCTCTTGTAATGATATTACCAAGGTAGATGAGTTGCTAGTGCGCATCTACTTTATGACAGCGTAAATATATCTGTGTTTCTGAATGCCACATATATCTATCCTTACTTGCACTTCAGCTAATTGAAATCATTAAGGCAATTTGATTTTTGAACAAATTGTTTGTCGTCCGAGTCTATTATAAACTATTCGTTATTGAACGAGGGGATATGGATGAACTTTTGCACTTTACTAGAATGAGAAATGTTCGATTTTTTTATCGTTTGTCGATGCACGTTATATATGTTACTATGTGTACTTAATTAATGTAAGTATTTTATTTCTTCATGGACAGAGAAGATCACGAGTGTCTATAGATCATTACGTTAAATTTATATCCGTACAATGAATCTGTAAACAATAATTCTGCTAATTAAATTAGCTTAATCCACTTCGTCGTCGTTTTCTTTTACGGGAATTATCGCTAAATAAAATCCCGTCATCAGTGACGGCGACCGCTGAAAATGAAAACCTCGATGCAAAATGACAAAAAAAATGGTCTATACGCGAGCTTATTTGCATGTCGTCGTTGTAGACTGAAATGAAGTCGGAGTGCAATTACCAATGGGGTGTTGCAGAGCATTGTCGCACGCTCGGTTGAAATCGATTTCAATTTGCGCGAAAATTTCACGGTTAAAACAACTGCGCCCCGTGCATCTATGTACATCTACATACCTTCGCGTGGGATGTTTACCAGTTGCTTCTCTTGCGCCACCCCCCCCCCCCGTCCACGAAGAGTAAACGTAATGAGTTTTGCCGGATTGCATTTCTCATTCTTCCTCTCTTCTTTTTTTTTGCTGCTTGCTATTAATTCAATTTGCTGCAGATTTGATTTGGCTATTTTACCTGGAATTTGAATTGGAAAGCTCTTATTTCATTGCTCAATCGTTGTAAGAACGTTTGAATCATTTTTACAGCGTTTTCCTCGTCGCAGTAAGATAATTTATCGCCACGATAATAACGGAAGTACAAAATGGCGGAGTTCAGCGGCCTACACGAACAGTCGCTGCCTTATTTATTCACGACAAGCAGTTTGTAAAGCGCGAAAATTTTCAGAATAAATTTATTTTGCGTGGCTATTTTCATCGGTTTTGTGCATCCATCAACGCAAAGGTACATCGAGCATCCGTGCTTCTTGTATCACTTTTTAATTCGTTGAAACTCTAGCTGTCCGTGAGGCTCGATAGCCCCGGAATCTTGTGCTAAAACTTTCAGTCGCGAGAAATACGAAAAGTATGGTAATAAATGGTCTTGGATACTTCGCAAACATGATGGACCTTCTGCACAGTAGACGCAGCAACAGACGTGTTCGGTTTATCTGACGAGCCGGATCGAGGAAAAGTCAATTTTGCGAGGTGACCTATATATTGCTGACTGTCTCCGCGTCTTTTGTGAAAAAAATAAGGGTTCATTCGACAAACAGCTGCGCGCACACATTAAAAAGGCACAAAGCATACGCACACAGGCATAAAACACACCCGCGAGACTACATGTACACGTCTATACGGCTCGTTAGACGTACTCGCTGGCAAAGAGCTGGCACTCAAAGTGGAGTCGGAGATACAGGCAGAGCTGCTGCTCTGTTCGTAACGTCTAGCGCAGCCTATAGCGGGATGCTGGAGGAAAAGTGAGACTTGTTTTTTCTGTTCGAGGTGTTGCAATAACGAAGAAAATCGAGACGTTGCAATAACGAATTCGATGTGTTGCAATAACGAAGAAGGCGTTTGACGTATTAGTTCCGGCTATTTCTCTCCTATCCTTTCTTTTTTACGGAGTACTACTAAGTTGTACTTTCACTATCCTGTTAATAGCGATTATTTGGTAGACTTGGTAGGGTGTGTTTTCTTTTCAGGAAAATTTGTTACTGAAGAATGAAAGTTAAACTGTACTGAGATATATGATGAATATGATGTGGATGGGTAGGATTCTAATATAAAGCGATTTATCTAATAAAGACTGACAAAAAATGATTATATGATTTCCAAATTATTATGAAAAATTATTACATTAACTCTGATTATAAATGAAAAACTAATTTATTAATTCATTTCACAACAATATTTGGTACTTTTGTCGTTTTTTTGTCAAACAATACATTGCAAATGTCATTCTCATCTCATTATATGTAGATTTAATGGCATTACTTTTCGACGCCGCTCAAAGTCAAATCGCTTTCAGCAGTAGTTTCAACGTATCTTAACATATATGAAAGTTGGGACAAGTAATAGATGAAAAATAATTAAGTATAAAGAACAAGAGATATTCGCAAACTTTTGGTCGGTTCACCGAAACTAAATTTTTTCTGGAAGCTAAGATAACTGCTTGATAAAGATAATGAAGGAATAGCAAGTTCGGGGGTACGAGTAAGTTTCCTTAGTTGCTTCTTGACTTGTTCGTAAAGTGTGCTCATTTCAACAAGCATTTAGCGTATAAAATGAAGCTCTCCTTCGGTAGCGATTTTCATTGCTTTCTGCTTTTGTCAGATTTACACAAACGGTTAAGGTATAGAGCATGTTCGATTGTTTTTGGGAATTAATTTTGTTATACTTTGCACCGCGATACTTTTAGATGACGTTCGAAGCGCTCGATATCTTAGGAGACTCATCCCGAAAACACGATGACGGTCAAATTTATACGAAAGCAAAAGTTAGCAAGAAAAGAAAATTTACAGCACGTTTCCTTCGGTGCTAATATGCGGAATGAAAAGCTGGAAGGAATGATTTCTTCTGGACACCGGGAGAAAGAAGTTTTTTTCGTGCACTTTTGCAATTTACTCGAGTTTTTCACCGATTATACGAAGCTTTAAAATGAAAAAAGTCGTAAGCAAAGCAAAAAAAAGAATGAGCAAATGTACGAGTACAAGCCGTAGTTTCGTAATATGATAGCCTGTCCGTGTGAAAATAGGCGACTGGCACGTTGATATCTCTTTACGTCATGTTAGAAACACTTGTCGAACGAATTCGCACACTTAAAGCTCTCCCTCTCCCGAATTTGAGAGAAACATTATGTATAGCTTTGTCAATCACATACATTAAGTGTCTATATGTGGGTGTGTATGCGCGCACGAGTGAGGAGGTGTGACCTTTTCTTGTCGGCGAGCTAATAAATGGAAATAATCGATGGCCGTCAGTTGCAAATGACACATTGACTTATTTGCGATTTGTCACTCTGGAAAATACAATAATGCCTTTACTTAGCGATGCTCATTTTGACTACGGAAAAAGACACAGCTCGGTTTTTCTGGCCTCGCATTCCCACTCAAAGTGAATGTGTGAACGCGGTGTAAGTGGTGCTTTCGTAAGTTGTTCTGGTGATTTTAAAAATCGAATTTTCGAGCATTCTAAAGTTCCGAAACGATACTGTAAAAAGCACATTACATCAGCGGAGACAAACGCAGGCGCGCGAACCGTAGCGGTAAAACAATGGATAAGCGATAAAATTAAGATTGGAGAGGGTTGTAGCTGTAGAGTTCGTGTGGAAAGAGCGGTGCAAAAGCTCGCAGCGTTCACATAGAGAAAGGACGAGCGAACGCGCAAGTCTGTCTTCGCTTACAGTCTCTTTAGCTTCTGACGTCGTG